GTACTTTTTTGTTTTATATACACAAATGAAGTAAAAATCATTAAGAGCTTAACCATTAAGCTGCTGTAATTTCAACTATATATTAGTTTTGGAACTGAAAATATTTGTAATACAGTTCACCAAAAGTTGTACCATTAAAATGCTGTGATTTGAATTATATAGTGGTATTTAATCATTTATTATTTTGCGTACATAGACTTTTCCATTAAAATGCAGTGATTTTAACGATATATTGGTACTTAAATTTTACATATTTTATTCACATTTTACTTCACAGTTTTACCATTTAAGTGCTGTGATTTTAACCATATTTTGGTATTAAACATAAATGAAGTAAAAGCATTAAACAAAGTATTAAAAGTATTTTTTAAACATACATAAATAAATCATTCAAAAATCTATAAAAATAATGCCGAATGTAATATATTATGCCATTTTGAATGTATGTTCAAATTAAAATGAATACAAATGGTTTATGAAATTGCTCGTGTCAGGAATTATAAAATGCAATAATAAATCATTTAAAAAAAATAATTGTTCAGTTTTAGTAATTCAAAGCAAGAGAATTTAAATATCTTTTTGGAATTTCTTTAATAGCAATTAAGTGATGAGTAAGACAAAATAAAACCCAATATAAATTAGAATGAATATGCCTTCATAAATCAGGCAATTTTGGACACTTTTTGCAATTCTGAACCAATTTATAGCGATCTCGCAATATGCTAATCAATTTGAGCGATTTTATATTGAGGGGGAAAGTCATCATCAGCTGAGTGAAACTAAAAAACTAAATCCATCGTCGTGATCGTCATCATTTCGAGCGTAGCCTGTCGTCGCCTGTCACTTGTGGGTGTTGCAAACAATTTAATTAAAAAGCGCAATAAAAAAAAACAAAGTCGTCCACGACTGTGTGCAATTAAAAATTAAATTCTTAATTAAATGCATAAAACTTGACGACTTCGAGGGCCATTCAGGCGGCGCGGGGGCGTGGCAGCAGAACTTTGAGCAGCAGAAAATTGCAAAATGGTTTAATTAAGCGAAGCAGAAGCAGAGGCAGAGGCAGAAGTAGTGGCAGAAAGTTTCTCTCGACTGGCTGACAATAAGAGTGTCATTATAATTGTTGACAGGCACAATGAAGGAAAGTGCAAATCATCGCCAGGACCTCGTCGTCGAGGACCTTCCCGCAAATGGGCAAATGGGCGAATGGGCCACGCCCCCAATGAAGTTGGAGTTGCAAAATTGTCGAGCGAGCACGAAAGTAGAAACAGAACGCAGACAGAAGACTTCGTGCAGTGCGTGCACTGAATTAATAAAGTCGTAAATAAAGTCGTGCTCGAAACCGAAGAACTTACAGGAAAAATCCAGAGAGAACTAAAAAGAAAAATGTTAAATAAAAAAAATTATAAAAATAACTAGATATTTAAAAAAAAAGGATTAGAAAAAATAATTAATTAGAGGCAAAATTCATAAAGAACTAAAAGAGTTGTTTTACTACATTATTGGATTAGTTTTTGTATAAGTAAATAAAAAAAAAATAAAATAAAATAAAAATAGATAAAATAAAATAAATTTAAATTATATTAATAATTGTTAGTGAAATACAATGTTCCAATATATAGTTTATTTTTAAGAATTAAGTTCTAGCCCCTTGATTTCCTGCTATTTTGTGGGCTATAGTTTGTGATAAATGAATTACAAGTTGTATGTAACTTAATAAACTAAAGTGCCATATCTCTTAGTCAATCTTCACTGTCGCCACACACATGTATCGACTTGATGTGAGGCAATCAGGGCCACTCAAAAAAGGCAACAATGCGGAGTGGTAGCCACCCACAAGTGAAAAGTGGGGGGAAAATAGCGCGGCGGGAAAATGTGCGTTTGCGTGAGAGAAAGAGACACAAAGAGGCTGTGCGACAGAGACAGAGAGATCGAGTGCAGAAAGCTGATTCGTTCATACAAATCTCAGCGAAAGAGAAGGAAATTCCACAGTTTTCCAGAGGCGGGGTGGGAAAAAGGTGGCAAAAATGGGATCAAAAAGGGGGGAAGGGTTACCCCATGCAATCAGTCAGCTTTATCAGTTTGCCCAGCTAACTGACGAGATGCACCACAACGCCATGGCCACGAGGAGTCAGGAAGTTGCTTGGCCTTGCCTGTGACTTTGGGCCCACCCCCCCGCAACCTCACCCCTCACCCCCACTTAATGTGTTGCATTTGTCCTGCAGCGGGGTCGTGAGTCCCGAGTCACTGCAACAAAAACACCACAATTGGCCGGCCTACACTCCGAAAAAAAAACAAAAACAAATATTCTAGAATTCAAATAATAATTTAAGAAATAGAAATAAGAAATAGATATATACAGATTTTTTATTGAAACATTACATTATTGTATGAAACAATATTATATTATATATATATATATATTATTTTCCCCCCAATTGATTGGCCTACGAATTTTCCCGCTGTGCAGAGGGTTTCCCGCGGCCAGGAGACTTGTGCTGGGCACACTTTTACTTCCACTTCCACTACCACAGACACATACACATCCACTTCCACACCATCCACCTCCATCGACAGTTCGTAGTATTTCGACTTTTCAGCTTTTCAGGGGCTGGCGTTTTTCGGCTGCCTGGGCGTTCTGTTTGCATAAGGCGCCCAGGAGCGGCACGCGGGGGGGCGGATCGGGGGGTGTGGTTCAATTAGCCGGCCTCTCAGCTGCAGCTCACAAATGCAACAGCTCTTGAGCGGGTTAATATCGACTTGGTCCCCAAAATCACGATTAAACGGACCAATATAAGGCCAATTTTAATTCGAAATATATTCTTTCTCGTTTATTTTCCGAAAGTGTGAAAATACATTTATCTACAATAGAAATTTTGCATATTTTAGGTCACAGAAAATTTGATGATTTTTAAGATTGTTTTAAAATTTGCAACAAGATTCTTTTAAAATTTCTGTAAGTGTAAAAATAGTTTTCTTTTATTATATTATACTGAAAAATATGTATAAAATCTAAAAAAAGATTCTATTTCAATTTAAAACTAAAGGATATTAAGATGTAAACCCAAATTGTTATTAAAGCTGTGAATAATTTGCATTAATTATTTATTTCCTAATAAGCAAATATTTGCCAAAGGATAATATTTCATACAATAAAACTACAAAAATATTTAAATGTCATTGTTTTTTGTACCAAAAAGCATAATTTTTGGAGTATATAAGTAACATAAGTTTTAAAATGTTAAAAGTGTGCACAATAATAATGATGAAGGTTGTATTTGTTAATAAATATACTTCACTATATAGTACTATAATACTATTTCAAAAATATGGCTTAAACTTGATTTAAATCGGATAAGTTTTAGATTTGTAATGTTAAACAGCTTGTAACTACCTTTTATTTTATTTAAGAGTGCCTTTTCCTATTAGAAAAAAGTTGCAACTCTAAACGATTTGTTAATAGTTTTCCCAGAAAATGTATAAACGAAAACAAACCATAAGTTAATTCTTTTGGTTTACCCTTAGATGAAATGCTTGTGGGAAATAAATATTTTCGGACTTTCTTTTCATATCCGAAGTCCAGTCTTAATACTTTCCAAATAGCTGACCAAATTTGCTTTCCTTTTATTCGGTTGTTTTCAGGGTAAGAAAACTCGACCACACCCCCTTTGACTCCACTCCCTTTCGCTTCGACTACGATAGCTGCGGCCGATATGCACGAAAAGTCGAAATGGAAAACAATTTGTCATTTTGCGTGAATTTCTATTTGGTTTTTCTTGAATATATTGTGTATGTAGGGGTAGCCCTTTTTATACCCTTGCCGAGGGTATTGTTAATTCAGTTGAAAAGTTTGCAACGCAGTGAGGGAGACATGTCCAACCCTTTAAATTAGATATAGTCTTGATCAGCTTAACTTTTCTTGATCTTATCCTGTCCGTTTGTCTGTCCGCTTGTCCGTTTCTATGAAATCTTGTTTCTTAGTTATAAAGCTTTCTCGATAAAACTTTATCAATAGTCTTCCCTCTATTGTAGGAAGCATATAATTTGGAACGGTCTATATCATATAGGTCCCATGGAAAAAAATTTAAAAAAATAACCTTTACTGCCTTTCAATTTATTTTAATATACTTCCATAAACAGTACTATTTTAATGTTTTAAAATTACGGGTTAAATTTAATTTAAATCGGATATCATATTGCTGCTTTATGAAAGATCAAAACACTCAGCGAAAAATCATACTTTTATTTAAACAAATACTTTGTTTAATAAAATCTCTAATTTTTTTAATAGCTGCAAGGATATGTAAACTACGGCTTGTCAAAACTTGTTTCCTTTCTTGTTTTTATTTTGCAAACCCAATTTCTTATACTCCCTTTTTCCATGTTTTTTTGTTATCCTTTATTTTGGTTAGTCAGTTCTGGGAAAACAAAAGTCGCGAACATTTAATTGAACACGGTTGCCTTGCATTTGGTTTTTTGGTTTTTCACGCAGGCACGCGATGATGAAAGAGAGGGCCGCAGGAGCGTCGAAAGAGATGGCAGCAGGCACGTGTCTGCTGCAGCAGCCGTCCCGCTCGCACAGCGGCCATCGCTCTAATTATAGGTTAGGCCCGGCCGATCAGCGATTGGCTAAGCCGGCCATATAGAGGGGGCCGAGCTATGGAAACTGGTTTCTCGACGTTCGGGGTTTTTATGAATGAAACTGGAGGGCACAAAAACAGTGGTGGTGGTGGTGGTGTTGGGAATTTTTTGGGAACCACCATCTCTATGCATATATGCATATGCGTTGTTGGTGGTGGTTTTGCACTCCTGGTATTGTCTGTACGGCTGTCTCTGTTACACGCCTGGTTAAGTGTGGCAGCTGAACCCCCAAAATGGGGTATCCCCATCCCGCTTGCACCACTGCTGCCGGCAGCGACGTCGACGGAGGCAGCGGTGACGGCGGCAGCAACGGCGGCAGCGGCGACATTTAGCCAAGCTTTTTGTTCGCGTGAAACAGTTGCAAGCCTTTGAACGATCAGCGACGACGGCGTTACTTTTGGCGCGGATCAAGCAGCGACACTTTTTTTTCGTTGGGCAGGCGCCTCCTGTCACCAAACAAACAACAAAAACAAACAAAACAACCAATCAAACAACTAAACAGCTAAACAAACAAATAAACAAACAAACAAGCAGCAAACAGACAAGCTAAAACAAACAAGTGTGCATTTTTGGTTCGAGTTTCCTTTGATTTTCATCGCTTACATTTCTTTTTTTGCCTGTGTTCCTTAAACAAAAAATATAAATATATAATATATATATATACAGAGAAAATATTGTAATAATAAAATATATATATATATAATATAAGCACAAAAGCCAGCAAACATTGAAATCGCAACATCAGCGAACAGTAAACAACAGCAAACAACAGCAAACAAATCAGCCGACGGCCGAGTGGTTAAAGTGCAACGCCGACGGACTCGAAAAAGATATCAGATACAGATACAGTTAGAGATAGAGATACAGATTGAGATACAGTTACAGATACGGATATCTGGGCGCTGGGCTTAATAATCCTTTGGCGATTTGGCTCACCTTCGCTTTTTTTCTGAGTGCGTGTGTGCTTGTGCTGTATATTGTATTGTGCTGTGTGCTTGCCAAAAACCCATAGCCATATATTGTCCATATGTCCTTAATGTCTTTCTCCCTTTACCCAAAAAAAAAAAAAATAAATAAACCAGTGAGCCTGTTCTGCAACAATAGCCATAAAGAATATACAAGATAAACAAAACAAAACAAAACGAAACGAAAAACAAAACTAAACCAAAAATCCCCGAAACAATTGTGAACCCAAGTGGGCAGAGAAAAACAAAACAAAAGGCAGTCGCCACGAAAAAAAGACACCATCATTGTGCGCCTCAAATTGACAGCAGCAGCAACTGCGGCAGCAACGACAACTGCAACTGCAACTGCAGCAGCAGCAACTGCAGCAGCAACATCCGCAGCAGCAGCAGCAGCAGCAACAGCCACATCAACGACTAAAATGCTAACGGACATGACCCCGACCGCCGGTCAGCTCTACGGATCCCAGATTCCGGCCATGGGCATGAACATCACCAACATCGCCACACACTTGCAGAAGCCACAAGTTAATCCGGTAAGCCGATCATGTCCAAATCTCCTTTTGAGATACGTATCTCGCAGATAGGTCACTCCAGTCCAGATGCTCAATCGAAGATGCATCTCACTTGGCAATTATGCGCACTTACCATTACTTTTGACAAAAACCCTGTCTAGATTGTAAAAGTTAGATTTTGTGTCAAACGAGATACAAAAGTATCTAAATGAATAAGATAGAAGATACAATTTGGAACAATTACCCATTAGTTTTATGAATCCATATCTAGATTGCCAAAGTTAGATACTCTGAAGGTTGATTTTATGATGTATAGATACAAAAGCCAATAAATGAGATAGAAGATACAATTGGAACATTTTGTAGCATAGAGATACAAAAGTATCTGAATGAATACAAGAAGATACAATTTGCAATGTTAGATTATAGAAGTTATATACTCTTGTTTGATTTTAAAATAAAGCGATACTTATACCGATAATTATAAATAGATACATATTTTTGTATCTTATTGAACACGTTTTTGTGATATACAAAAGTATCTTAAAAACAAGAATAATATAAAAATAATGAGATCAGTGTAGATAATAAGAGTTAGATACTATCTAGTAAGATTTTCTAATAAAGAGATACAAAAGTATCTATCTATCTATAATTGTCACTTCAGTAAGAATTTCCAATAATCCAATGATTAAATATCTTAGTCAACTCTTGAAAATAGAAGAATAGATACCCCCTAGACAAAAGATGCAATTACTACTATCTACTAACACATTAGAAATAATTTCCATTCATCTAATGAATTAATATCCACCGCAAGAAAATTAAGAATATAAAAGTCAGATTTTGCGCTGATAGGAATACGGCAAAAGATACAATTATTCACACTTACTATCACTTTAGAAAAAATTGCTAGTCATCTAATCAGTGAGAAAATATTCTTTAGAACCATTTTAAGTAGTTCCCTTACTTTAGATGCAGTTATTTTTCTTTTTGAACAAAAAACCATATTTTTAAGTCTACAGATACAAAAGTTTTAGCACTTTTTAGTCACACTAACTAATGAACTCCAGAAAAAGATTTTTAACCTTTGTGTTTCATTAGAAGCAGATACAATAAAACAAAATATTTATGTTATCTCTTAAAAATAAAGAAAAATAATACAAGCCACATCTCTTAATAATTTATAGTGACTTCTAATAAATTATGTTTTCGAAACCAAAACGGTGGCAACTATACCATAGAAACAGGTAAAAAAAAACATACTAAGTGCCTCGAATTACACCCACATACATACAACCGCCACGAGTATCTCACAGATACACATGTGAGCTCATTGCGGACAAGTGGCTGGCAGGCATTTTTCGAGTTAGTCATGATTTGATGAATGCATCCCACAGATACGAGTACTTGTGCATTTAAGCATAAATCATTGGCGGACTTGAATGAGTGTGGAGAAGTCGTTTTATGGAAAGTATCTTCTAGATATTGCGAAGAGTATTTTTATAATACTGTGCAGCTAAAAATTCTCATTTAACTTCTTTGTTTTAAAGAAAGTATCTGCAAGATAATGTGCTGAAAAACACTATTATTTAATTGTTTTTATAGTAAATACATTTTGTTAAGATACTCTGCTGCTTAAAGTTCCACTTAATTTCCTTATCTTTTACGTCAATATCTAAAGGCTATAGAAATAGTAGAAAATATAGGTTGTATGCCGAAGTTCAGTTTTAATACTTACGGTTTTATAGAAAGTACCCTTAAAATATACCCCTCGTTTATTTCTCTAAAAAAGTATCTTACAAATATAACCTACGTTTATTTTTCTGTCTAAGGGATCTTTAAAATAATGTGCTGCTAAAATCTTCCATTTAATTTTTATATTTTATGGTAAATATCTTTTGGATACTCAGCTGCCAAAAATCTGTTTTAATATTCTTTAAGCATCCTAATGATAGTCTTCTCTATTCATTTCTCTAACTTTTTCCTCCAAAACGCTCTTGTTTTTTTAATTTATTATGAGTTAGATACTAAGTTTGCCATACTTTCTCTGTAAGATACTGCTGTTAAAATTTCTATATAATTTGCACAGCATATGGCCTTTGCAATTGTCGTACTTGTACTTATATTTCGGGCAAATCAACCACTTACACGGCATTAGCACTGACAATAAACAGCCATAAACAAACAATGACAACAGACGCCGCGGATGCGGATGTGGATTGGGTTTGGGTTTGGGATGTGGATGTGGAATTGCTATTTGGATTTGGAATCGTATCCAAGGAGCTCACAGTAGCGCACACCTTTTGTCAGCCGCTCAGCTGGAATCCCTTTTTTGTTAGAGGCGATGATTGCGACTCGACGGGATGAGTTTGGCTAGCAAATCGATTGGATGCGGCTTGTTCAGCCCTGTGTGCCAACGGATTTCACGCTATGGGCCACAGATACATAGCTGCAGATACAGATACTGCTGATACAGATACATTTACAGATACGAATACGAAAGGGAAAAACAGACCAGGTAGGCGCCGTTTTTCGGTTTCAAATCAATTATTCAGGCTCACTTGAGGTGTGAAGCTAACGATGGAGTGACTCTGTGCCTATTTTTTGGCACTCCGGAGATCGTATTTCCACGCTGACTTCTCGACTGCTCGACTGCTCGACTTCTCCTATTATTTCGCTTATCGCAGAGCGGAAGCAAACACTTAAAGGCTAAAAACCATCAGCATTTCATAATGATCTTCTGGCCCCGATCCAAAATTCGCTCATCAATCTCGTCCGGCCTTTGATCTCAACCGAAAACTAAGACAGATTTCCGCTAATGATCGTTTTGATGGCTCCTCCGGGCTTTTGCCTTTGCCTTTTGCTCTCGATTTCGATTTCAATTCGGTTTTTCAATTAGCAGATTATGTAAACTTGTGCTCTTGCCATATGACACAATATTGGGTCGAAAGTCAGTAATGCCATAATATTTTGTTCGTTATTTATACACAATCGCTAGGAGAACCTACAAATGGTAATAACAAAACCAAACCAACTTTAATGCTTGTAATATCACATAGGTTTTGTTATAAGCCTAGTTAATAGTTAATATATAAATATATTTAATTTCATAACTAGAGGTTAGGACTGGTGGAATTTGTGAGATTTTCGCCCGTCGGATTTGCATGGCTGGCTGGGAAATTGCATGACACTTTTAATAGAGTCAGCAACGCCAAATGGACGCAATGTGATTGAGGCAATGGCAATCTGGTGCCCCTGGCCACCCGTTTTTTTTTCCCTTTTTTTTCTACCCAAAGTGCAGACGCCACGCAAGTGCGTGTGTGTATTTTCCAACCGCAGAACGAAACGAGCTGGCTCCTACAAAACTGGCCTCCAAGCTCCAAGTTCCAAGTTCCCCTCTCAAATCTCGCATCTCCAGTTCTCCTTTCGGATCTGCATATATATTGATGGGGGAGAGGAACGAGAAACGTTTATTAAAATTAATACCACATCAATCATTTAACAAACGCGCCTGTCGGCCAAGTTCAAAGCGCTGCCTGCGACTAGACCAAAAACTCTTTGGGGCCTGCTTAAGAAAGTTACACATGCGCATTGGTTTTAATTAAAAGCGTTTAGAAGAGCATCACAAACACAACAAAATATAAGAAAAAAAATAACAACAGGCGCAGAAGAAAGATGATAAATTACCAAGACAAACTGAAATTAACATTTGTGCCTGGAAACAAAGAGACAGCCGTGTGGCTAGCAGATCACAGAAAACCAAAAGAAAAAAAGCTCCACGAAGGGATTATATACAATATACATATAGTATATTGAAAGCCGCTGTTAAATTATTGAAAATCATGCAACGATCCGCGCCGTTTTCCCATGAACAGCAGCCTCATTTGTTCAGTGTGCGCTCTGCGTCGGCATAATCAGCATAACAAAAGGAATTAAGCAATAAAATATTAATGAAAATACACTGGGTAAGATCGCCGCGTCATTGACTAATTTGTTTGTGGTTCTCCGGCTTCTTTCTCCGGTCGGTAAGAAGGCGCCAGAGATCTGGAAGGCAGGGAGTGGCCAGCGGTAGCCGTGACAGGCGCCCCATAGATCGTACACCCGGAGAAAATTGCCTATCGAATGGGATGTTGCACTTCAAAAGATATTGGACAACTTTTGAGGGATTCCTGTCTTGAAGAAACTTTGCTTGCGTGTATAAAACAACCTCGGATTAATAACCATTGAAATTTATCTGGTACTTACATTTTAAATAAGTTAACAAAGTTAAACAAACTTTCATTGACCTTTTGTTAAGTACTTCCTTATACAAATGCTAATTATGCACAACATTTTTACAAGCATCTTATGATTACTTAACCCTCAATATTTATAGTTAAACACGTTTTTATTGACCTTTGTGGAGGACGTCTTCAACATATAATATAAGATATAATTTTAAAGGAGAAAACATAGTTAAACACCTTTTTCTCCCAGTGTTCTTACCTCCTTCGGCTGCTCGACATATTTACTTAATATGATTTGGCTTAATGAATGCGCTTGGCTTTTGTGTCTGCCCCTTTTTGCTACCCTGTAGCCATTCTTTTTCCCCTCTTATTCCAGTCTGGGCATTTTTCACCTTTGACAAAGGCTGAGCCCGACGCAATTAACTTGCGTCATTTGGAAAATTAGTTGGCATGATGCTGCAAAAAAACACACAGGGAGTCCAGAAAGGAACAAGGTCGCTGCTGCTTCAAAAGCGCCGCTTGAAAAGCATTTTTCAATTTGGTTTTTCCTTTTTTTTTTGTTGTTTGGTTTTCAATTACAAAGACCACGCACCAAAAATTCATGTGCGTGTTAGATATGACTTTCTGACTTGCAGTTTAGACTTATGGCCATAAAGAAACATAAGCAACTATGGTGAGAACACGCTGCGTATACGCAACGCTTCGAGCCACACAAATTTGCATGCCAAAATGGGAAAAACTGGAACTGGAACAGACCCTGACCAGAATTCGTACAGAAATTGCTTTACAAAT